AGTTAATTTACTCACCCTCAGGCCATTAAAGATGTAGGTAGGTGACTTTTTTTCATTCAGTATGACGTTGAAGTTTATTTTGCTAGCGCACATTGTTTTTTTTAGGTGAACAATTAATCTGTGCAAGTTAATAGTTTTCTTCAACTCTGCTCTAACTTTACTCCTCCTCCGATATCTTCTGATTGATCCACTGCTTTGAAACTGACACTGATGAGCAGCGTTGCGTCTAAAAGTTAAAATACTTTCACCTTGCGCTCTTACCGTTAGTTTGCTACAAAGGAAGGACCCGAGGTGGGTAGAGTATCCAAAATCTCTATAGACCTTTTTCATGGCTGCTGCATGGAGGGCGCCATAGCGACCAGCGTCTTCCGTTAGAATGCAAAAAACTTCTGTTTACAGCGTGTACAACTGGTAATTTGCGCTCCGAAAATGGGTTTCAAAAACGTTTTTAATGGATAACAGAGTGTTTTTGTGACACACAACTTAGAAATGTGTCTGTTAAAGCCGTTATAATCTGGCACATGTGGTTCAAGCATGTCAGAAATACGTGAAAAACGTTCTCCTAGTTCACGTGTCTGCCGTCAGAAATACTGTGTGTGTGTGGCATGAAACTTAACAGGTATGAAAGTCGTGCAATTTACAAAAATGAGCAATAAAAGTCTGTTATTGACACTCTGCTGGCTGATTTGCTGTTCATTCTAATCGTGAGCCGTTTGTGTTTTATTTTGTGTGTTGTTTTTACCACGGTTTGTGTTTTTCTGTCATTTCGAAATGACACTAGTCTATATTTTCACTTTGTCACAGTTATTAAACCAGTGTGTCAGTGGCACAGTACAGGCTACGTGGGTGTGTCAAACATTTTGGTGAACTACATTTGTTTGGGCTGGTTATGTATTTGAAATAAAGAGAAAATGTTGACTTTAGCGATGACAAGGCTTCATTTAAACTGCAGAAGATGCCGTCTGACAACGAGGGGAAAACGCCTCACAGCAGCTGTTTTCCTTCCTATTAGATCGCATTTCTTTAAATGATCAGTCCAGGAGATGGCGCTGATGGACAACAGTATTAGTTCAAAGAGGATAAAAGCAGGTAAAATAGATTAACACTATTGTTTCAAAGCTGTCCAAGTGTGACTGTTTACACGCATCAGCTGTCGACTGGAAGTTCGTCGCATTCTCCTTGCGCATACACGCAAAGCATAATGGGTAATTTTGCGTTCCAAGAAATAGGTCTATAGTAATCTCTCATGACACAACTTCTTCAGCAAGGCACCTCGCCATATTCACAAACAAGTTATATGAATCATATTTATTACTATTTGACAGTAATGGAGGAATGCCACCAAATGTAGTGAAGTAAATGTAATTTTTTAATAGCGATTTCTGGGAATGATGCACAAAACGAAAGCCCCACCCACCTACTCAATGCTCTGTATTAGTTGGAAGCGTATTCACATACTGAAATAAAAGTCTCAGCAACTTCCGGTGTGCTGCCAAAAAAGGGCACCCCTTCCAGATTATGCCTCCCCTCGATCACCAGAATAGGGTAAGGTTGGGATTAGGTTTAGAATTAGGAGGTGTGGTTGGGATTATACAATCATGTAGGGAATTCAGCAAGGGGTGCATAATTTGGCAGCGGTGCATTTTACGGCACAACGCCAGTTCAATCAGACTTCAAAGCTCCCATGAAATTAAAATAACATGTTATAGATGTTAGTTTTTAGGATATCTATATGATTGTGTGCACCAAAACAGTGACAAAATTAGCATTCATGAAATATAAAATTAGTGTAAACATGTAAAGCTTGCAGTTTGTCACTTCGGCCTAAATAGATCACCTCACTTCAGTTTCTCATCAAATCTACTGACCAATCAAATGCTTTGATGCGCTTGAGCATAACCACTCTCAGTGGCAGATAAACGAAACTCTATTGGCTGTTTCTTTAAAGGAGGAGGAGCTACACTGTGTCCCACCCTCTCTTCATGTTTCAGTTGAGATTACATCAAACGTTGATTAACAATGCACATTTCAAAGCACTTCACGAGACCTTTAAAGACGTTTTCTGGCGATCTGGCATTGTTAGGATGCAATGGTCACCTTTTTTGAAACTAGAAGTAAACAAATACAAGCAAGTCCAAATCAATCCCAGTGATTCATGATGTTACGCTCACGTCTTACAAAGTAAAGTCTGTTTGTGGAAGAAATTGAACATTATTTACATTATTATTACCTTTATCTACAGTAAGCACTTTAAAAATAACATTTAAATAACATTTTCTGTATTTTTTTTATTCACGGGTGTTTTCTGTTTATTTATGTTATGAATATCATTATGGGACCTTTATTTCTGCTCTGTTGACTTTTAATATAAAAAATCGGTCCCACTTTATATTAAGTGGCCTTAACTAATATGTACTTACACAGGAACTAATAGTTTGTTACAATGTACTTATTGTGTAAATACGTGTATTTACTATGTACTTATGCTTGATTAAATACATGTATGTAATTACATCTGTAACTAACTTTTGTAATTACATTTGTAAATACACTGTTGACCATCCCTTACACCTTAACCCACCCTTAAACCTACCCATGCCACCAAACCTGTTCATAACCCAACTTCTATCCCAACTCAAAAGCACCACAAGTGTTCCTAAATACATTATAAACACAGTAAGTACATTGTATTTATTTTTTGATGTAAGTACATAGTAGTTAGGGACACTTAATATAAAGTGGGACCAAAAAATCAACTCTGCAGTTTAACAAATTGACAATTATTGACATTTAGTACTTGAAACACTCTATAAAACATAATATACACTGAAAATAATCCGTAAATGAACAGATTTCTGTATTTTGTGATTCATGTTTTTCCGCCAAAACTTATGATGTTGAAATGTTGGAAAAAGTGACTTTTATTGACATCATTTAAAATAGCCTATTGTCTGGGTTGATATTGTAAATCAGTGATCCCCAATTTTTTTATCACCACTGACTGGTCAACGCAATTGTACTGCGGACGGGACGGGACGGGGCGGTTGTTCGTAGGTTGCTAGGCGACCATCAGCCATTTTTTCCAAAGGATGACAAAACATTGCTGTCACTTTTTTGTTATGGTGAAAAAATTACAAAGCACTGCAGTGTTTGGGCGTTCTGTGTTTGTGTGAGATAATTAGTCTATACCGAAATGTGTATATTTCATACGAGCTGATCGATCAGTTAGTTTTTGTCATGTGGCTCTTGGTGCGCTCGCGACATTCACTCAACTGGTGCGCCTGGAAGGCCCGAACATGTCAGGCCGCTTGAACATTGGAAATAACACGCCTCCATTGGAAATAGCGAAATTTTTGAACTCTAGAAAAGACGTGATTTGCAAACAGTCTAGGGCTGCTCGATTTTGGGAAAAATCCTAACCATGATTATTTTGGTCATAATCGTAATTACGTTTATTTAAAACGATTATTGGTTGAAGTCAAAGTTATTAGCGCTCCTGAGAATTTTTTTAAATAAATATTTCCCAAATTATGTTTAACAGAGCAAGGAATTTTAACAGTATTTCCTCTAATATTTTTTTCTTCTGGAGAAAGGCTTATTTGTTTTATTTTAGCTAGATTAAAAGCAGGTTTAAATATTTTAAGTCAATATTATTAGCCCTTTAAGCAATATATTTTTTGATAGTCTGCAGAAGAATCTACTGTTATACAATAGCCCTTTCACACAGTGATACCGGTAAATATCTAGAAAATTT